TCAACAAATTGCATGGGTTAAAATTTTGTATTCCCTCCTGTTAATTTTTGTGTTCCCAGTACGTTCTCTCCTGTTGTATTGACCCTTCATGACATGACCCTCCTTTTTGTTAATTTTTATTATTTATTTTATTTAGTTAATTAAAAGGAAACATTTAAAAAATTAGACAATTTTCGCTAATCGATTTGATTGGTCACATTTGTAATATATGAAGATCCATCAATCAATAATATTATAATTAGTAGCAATGACGACAACGAATCATTGTTTTTTGAGGATGATTAAGATCCAGTTTGTATAAGAGTAATCGAAGTAAGTTATAAGGACAAGATCTATGAATAAAATATTCTAACAAACGTTTTATCAATTATTCAAATACTTAATGGTTTATGTAGGAGTAATCGAAGTAAGTTTTAAGGACAAGATCTATGAATGAAATATTCTAATGAACATTTTATTAATTATTCAAGAGTTGGTATAAGAGTAATTGAAGTAAGCTTTAAGGAAAAAATCTATGAATGAAATACTCTAACGAACGTTTTATCAATTATTCAAGAGTTGGTATAAGAGTAATCAAAGTAAGTTTTAAGGACAAGATCTATTCTAACAAACGTTTTATCAATTATTCAAGAGTTGGTATAAGAGTAATCGAAGTAAGTTATAAGGACAAGATCTATGAATAAAATATTCTAATGAACGTTTTATTAATTATTCAAATATTTAATAGTCTATGTAGGAGTAATCGAAGTAAGCTTTAAGGACAAGATCTATGAATGAAACATTCTAACGAACGTTTTATTAATTATTCAAGAGTTTGTATAGGAGTGATCGAAGTAAGTTATAAGGACAAGATCTATGAATAAAATATTCTAACGAACGTTTTATTAATTATTCAATGGCTTATGTAGGAGTAATCGAAGTAAGTTTTAAGGACAAGATCTATGAATGAAATATTCTAACGAACGTTTTATTAATTATTCAATGGCTTATGTAGGAGTAATCGAAGTAAGTTTTAAGGACAAGATCTATGAATGAAATATTCTAACGAACGTTTTATTAATTATTCAAGAGTTGGTATAAGAGTAATCGAAGTAAGTTTTAAGGACAAGATCTATGAATGAAATATTCTAACGAACGTTTATCAACTATTTAATAGTTTGTGTAGGAGTAATCGAAGTAAGCTGATCTATGAACAAAATATACTAACGA